GGGACCTACTCTTTGAGACTGAAGGAAACTTGGATGCCACTTAATTCAACCTTTTATCTAATATATGAATTCTTCTTACAACATTCCCTATAAGTGGCTCTCAAGATATTACTTGGCACATCCGGGAATAAGGAACACATTCTCTCAAGAAGTAGTCCTTGCCATTTTCAGAGAGAGAATGGAATTTCTTCTGTATGTCAAACTGAAATTAATCATCCTCTATTTAGCTTATTTTCATAAACACTGACACCTGCAACCACATAGAAAAAAATTTCTACCCCAAACTGCAACCATTTAAAGACAACTAAAGTGCTCCATGAATATTCTTTTCTCCAGGATATCTGTGCAGCATTACAGTTTTCAATGTTTTCTTATAATATGATTTGCAGGTCTTTCTTTCCTTCATCATACGTTTTTCTCTTCTTCAACAAAATTGTCTCTCTTAACGTGTGTATCTTAGAACCAAACCAGTAATCTAAATGCCTAATGTAGAAGGAAGTTATTCCCTTAACCAGAAACTGTCTTCCATGATTCCGGTCTAAGATCTGGCATTGGTTACAGAAAGCCGTGTGTGTTGCCTACTATCGTTTGGATATTTGACTCTTCAAACCTCATGTTGAAATTTGATCTCTAATGTTGGAGGTGGGACCTAATGAGAGGTGTTTGGGCCATGGGGGCAGATTTCTTCTAAATGGCTTTGTGCCTTCCTCCTGGTAATGAGTGATTTCTTGTTCTATTAGTTCCCATGAGGGTTCTCCAAGAGCTAGTTGTTAAAAAGAGCCTGACACCTTCGGCCCCTCTCTTCTCTCACCATGTAATCTCTGCACACCTGGCTTTCCTTCACCTCCTGCCATAAGTGAAAGCAGCCTGAAGTCCTCACCAGAAAGCAGATACTGGTGCCATGCTTCTTGTACAACCTGCAGAACTGTGAGCCAAACTAACCTCTTTTCTTTATAAGTTGCCCAGCCTCAGGTATTCCTTTATGGCAACACAAAGGGACTAAAACATTGCTCCAACAAACAAACCCCCAAAACTCAACAATAGTAAAACTTTATTTGCTCGCTCTGCAGTTGGATGAGAGTCTGAAGACCATCCTCCAACCCATAGCCAGGCCATTAGGTCTCCATGGTTCCAAGGGTCACTTGGAACTATGGAAGCGAGGACTAGAGGCTTACTCTGATTTTAAAGGCCAACTCTGGAAGTGGCTTACATATCTTATTGGCTAAAACAGTAGATTTCCATGAATTTCCAGAAAGGGGAAATGCTATGAAAGACACATAGCTTTGTCTTTACCACAGATCTTATTAGCTTTCTTGCCATTACAGCCTGAAGGCATCTTTGAAAACTGGACCCAGCTTGTCTACTGTCATTTTTACTTAACATGATAATAAATTTTATACCCACAGGAATCCTTAGAAGTCAATATTATTATTTTCATGTTATAAATGAGGAAACTAAGGTTTAGAAAAGTTAAAAACACAATTGAGTTCACATTTGAGGGTTTCACAAAAATTTTTCAAATAACCAACTTTTCACACTGAAAATTTAAGATGCTAAAGCTCTTATTGCATTCAACACTTGAGAGTTCACGATATATAGATATTGGTAGAAACTCTAAGAAATCATTGAGTACATTAGTTCTTATCACTATGTGACCCAAAGCCCTCTTTTAATAAAAAATATGTTATAATACCTTCTTGGTAAACATGAAATAAAATTAATAATAAAATAAAATATTCAATAGGCAAAACTAGACTAGAAGAAAATAAGAAAATGAAAGTAGCTGTAATTATATATCTACATTTTAGCCTATACATTATTGTTTCTGTTTCTCTGGAGAACCCTGATCAACACAGACTTTAACATATAAATGTGCAGGTCAGGAGGTGGAATGCAATTCAGCCCCTAACAACCCCCAATTAATTTTGAAGTCTGAAGGGAGTGAGATGGTGGAGGGGAAGTAAAGGCAGGGTCACGGTGCTAGTACCTATGTACTGGTTGAAAATAAAGGAAATGTTTGTATAGTAGAGTCCAGAGGAGATAAGAGAAGGTGAAATCAAATGTGTTTGGTGAAAGATTTGTCTTTACAAGCAAAACAAAATTTAAAAACCTAATAAAACACAAATTTTACAAAACCCTTTATATTCTCTGAGAAGAAAACTTTTATCTTATAGATGAAATGTTCACTAACACATATTGAGTGCCTACTGTGTGCCAGGCATATTATCTCATATCCCGCAATAACCTGAAAGGCTGGCACTACTATCTTCACTTTATATGTGAGAAACCTGAAGCCAAGAGAAATTAGAAAAATTGTTCGGCTCCTAGTTTATAAAGCAGCAGGTTGTTCAAATCCAAGCATGCCTGTTTTATCTGAGAACAACTTGTCAGTTGTTGAGCTACTGCTGCTCTTACAGAACTTGAGAAAATCCCAGATGTCATTGGTTAGAAAATGATGTCCTGAAATCCCTCTTGTTTGGTCAGTGTTTTTCAGGGGATAAGAAATAAGAGAACTGCTTGATTACCTACCCCCCCCCTTTTTTTTTTTTGGCCTCTGAGGTCTACCTTTAGGAACACCTTTAATCATCAATTCTTAACACTTTACCTCCTCCAGGTAGAATAGTAAAATTTATTTTCTTGTTCTTGAGACCTTTCCAGACTTTTCTTATAACATTCATCATGTACTAATCAAGTTTATTTGTGTTTTCCTAATTCAACTGCAGTCCAGAATTTTCTTTTGTCTTTGTATCTCCATTGCCTAATATAGTGACTGACACACTAGGTAGCTCATGCCTATAATCCCATCAGTTTGGGAAGCTGAGGCAGGAGGATTACTTCAGCCCGTGAGTTCGAGACCAGTGAAGGCAATAGAGTGAGGGACGTAGTGGGAGGTGGTTGGATCATGGCGACAATTTCCCCCATGCTGTTCTGGTAGTGAGTGAGTTCTTACAACATCTGATGGTTTTATAAGGGGCTCTTCCCCCTTCACTCTCTCTCTTTTCTACTGCCTTGTGAAGAAGGTGTTTGCTTTTCCTTCTCCTTCCACCGTGATTATAGATTTCCTGAGGCCTCCCAAGCCATGTGGAACTGTGAGTCAATTAAACCTCTTTCCTTTTAAATTACCCAGTCTTGGGTGTTTATAGCAATGGGAAAACAGAGTAATATATATGCAAACAGCATTTGCATATGTTGGAGACAGAAAATCTCTCTCTGTTTCTCCTCTATTCATTCAATTAATTTTCTCAAGAACCCTGTCAGGAACATGCTCCTATTGTTCACACTTTGAAAAAAACACTGAGATTTAGCAAAATGATGTATCTTGCCCAAAGTCACCCATCTAATAAGTGGAAGAGCCAGTCATGGCCCTTAGTCTGCCCATGTTTGCCGGTGCTCTTAATAACACAATATGGAAAGTGCCCTTTAGCAGTGATTGGCAGCCAGTTAATAACTTCAGAATTTCATTCTAACCTTAGAAAATCTTCCCTCTCCTTTTCCAATAACCAATATCAAATAGAGGAACTTCATTTGTGTTGAGGACAGGAACCCGACACTTCTGTCTGTGTCACTGGTCTCTGGCTCAGTGATTACCATATATGGGTGTTCAGTACATGTGTAGGAACTCAATACAGGACATGTTCAACCTTTATGCTAGAGGCACCCACAGAGGGCCAGGGTGACTTTTCCAAGATCAATCCCATGCCTCTTGGCTCAAATCCTAATACACCTCTAGAACCTGGGGATATGTATGACATAATGTCCTATATGTTTTATATAATTTAGTTTTCATGATACTTGCTTGTGTAAGTATGAGAATTATTTCCACATGAAAAAATAGTTTGTCTTGGAGAAATGCTAAATGACTTGCCCAAGTTCACACAGCTAGTAAGTGGCAGAGCTAAACTTTAGACCTAGGCTTCTTTCTCTCCAGCCCCTCTGCATTTTCTTTGGTGTATCCTACCAACAAATCAGCACTGTTGACTTGGACATTTTCAAACTGGCCATGACATGACTCGTTGAGTCCACACACATATAAAAGAGGGAGGGAGCTACATTCCCTAGTCTGTGCCAGATAATGCTCAGATATGAAAATAAAGCTACCGAAAAACTGTAGAACAGAAGCTGTTGAAACTTTTTCCTCAGGGACCAGTAATAGCTCTTTAATAATCCAGACACATGTGGCAATCCAGTTTATCTACAGCCAATAGTGTATTTGCAGGATGGGAATTAGGTGTGACCTCTCCAGTCAAGGAACAGGATTAAACTAATTAGCCACTAATGCCACCAAATGCATAACCTGAAAAGGCAATCAGGGGCTGCCCAAGCTGGGCTAGCCACCCACCAACAGTTGAGAGTACCTCATACAGAGGAGGAGACTTATTTCAGTGGCATTTCGATTAAACATATCACTAAATTGTACAGACACATGCAAATGTAAAGATGCAAATGTGAAATACAACACTTTCTTGTAGGTGATTTTGGGACCGAAACAGTGGACTGAAACTTCAAACAACCACTGTTTTGTCCCTGGTGGATTCCTAGGGTGTATCTCAGTGCCTTGCACTCGATGGTGTTTACTGAATAAAGGAATCAATGAGTTAAAACATGTTCTTATGACAATAATCACCTATAAAGCTACACAATTTTCTAATCCTCATTTGGTTTTCACTTCTGCATTGCAATTAAAAGGCTACCTTCATTTCCACACATATCAATCAATATCTCCCCAACAAAAAAGAAAGTTGCATGAAAAAAAAAATAGGAAACCTGTGACTTTCCACCATGTCCCAGATTTTCCAAATAATCCTGCCATTTGGAAGCCTGTTCATAGCCCCCAATGTACTGAAAGGCCTTGCAAAATGCTCATAGGTGAAACAGCAGGAAGCATCTAGAGCCATCTCAGAGGGAGCCTTCTGCTTCCAGGAATAAAGTCACGCACTCACAGGTGCTTCCTGTTTTTTCAAACACCTTGCCCACCTTCTGCACACCAAGCGTGGATTCTGCAAAACGTACGCCCAACAGGAAGCTGCCTGCAATTTCAGGTAGCTTTTCTGACTCTTGAAAAGATCTTGAGTATACTTTCAGAGAAATGCCAGCAAAAACTGTAGTCATTTGGGAAGGAACAATTCTGGAAGGAAGAGATACAGCGAACTAGCACAAAGAGGGTGAGAACATGTTTCATGAAAATGCTGTCTGTAAAGTACATTTTTAAACAAATAAATGTGTTTTCTTTAGGTTTTTAGCTCCTGTGGGTGGAATTAGGAGAACCCACGTGGTGTTTGTCATAGCTGTGCTGTGAGGGAGGAAGAGGAAGGAGGAAGGCTGAGGTGGAGAGGAGGAAGGAGGCCCGTATGGCTGGAATGTCTCCACTGAGCTCAGGAGTATGAATTCCTCTGAGACTTTCTCTATTTCAGGAAGCTCACAAACCCTTTCTGAGATCTCAGGATAACCTGAAATGAACATGTAGAACATTGATTAAGTCGTGAGAGTGTTCACAGTAAGTTTTGATTGAACTGTTCTAGGAAATTTCTTCTTAACATGATCACACGTGGACAAGTTGGGAAGAAAATGCCAGGGGTTCTGTACTCAGTTTTAAAATGAATTCAGAGAAGTTGTTCAAGGTAATGAGTGCCATGTCATATATCATAGGTCTTGGATAATTTGGGCTGATTTTTAAATGTAATTAAAACTGGTAATTGCATAATTCCTGCTGACAGTACTGGTTCTGTTCCAGATATGTACTCTTACATTTGCTTTTGTTTTGCTCTATTTTTTTCCATCCATATTGCCAAATTAAGTTAAGTTGTCTAAATGATTTTGCTTATTAAGTTGACTTCTTAATGCTCTTTTTCCTGAAATGAAATTAAAAACAATATCTACAAAGTTAAGCTTCTTCAACTTAACTGTTGAAAGGGCTACACGGGAGAATGTTTCTCTGCTGAAATTCAAAGAAATGTCTTTAGCCTACAATGGTCAGAACTGGTCCATATAAATCCTCTCTGAGCTCGCCCTTAGCAGTGAATTAAGGGAACAAAGTTAAGAGCGATTAATTTTGTTTTCCTTGTGGTAACAAAGATAGAAACACCTCAATATCTTATATGACCAATAGAAGCTTTCTAATCCTTTTTTAAAGGAAACTTTATATACCTAAGCGTTTGAAATACATTAACAATTTTTTTAAACTTTAAACTCTGTTCTACACAGAAATTATTTCTCTTTCACCTGCCCTGTGTAACCATGTCACCGTGTGCATATGGCTATTAAAGATCCAGATTCAAACAAGTCACTGTCCAGAAAGAACCTGATATTCTCTCAGGACACACACATATCACAGTGAAGTGATACCAGATAATGGCAAAGGTGGGGTGGAGTCTAGACTTGGTTCTATTATTTACCAGGTATCGCTAGGTTTCCATTTTCTCATCAGCAGAAGGAGGAAATTGGACTATGTGTTCTGTAAAACCTCTTCTAGCTTTAAAGTGTATTGATTCTTAGGTTTTAAGAAGACCTAAAATAAAAGACAGCACATGCTAAGTGGCAGATGAGCTGCTATAATGGTTCTGAAAAGGAAGCAACTGCATAGGCTTGGAGCATCTGGGACAGCCTCCATGGGGCTGTGAGATGTGGCTGGCTCTAAAAAATGGGCAGAACCTGAGAAGGTAGAGGTGAGGGGCAGCAGTTCACAGGGTACACTCAGGAGACCAGGGGATGTTCCACTGTGGCTAGATCCAGACAGACCCCAGATGCACATGTGAGTGCTAGAGAAAATCTTGCTCCTTGTCACCTTAATGAATGAGGATAATAAGATAACTTGTGGGAAAGTTTTAGTAGCTAAGGCGGCTGAGCCATTGGGCACAGCATCTTCAAAGAAAGGCCAGCAAGATGGACTGTGTTAAACCCAGAACTTTTGCCAAGGCTCTTTGGCTTCTCCACACCAGGAGGTCTCAGTCAGTAGTCTGCACTGCAACTACGCACTCACATGACTCCTCTCTTTTAAATAGTTGGGAGTCCCTTAAAGAGGTTCAAAAAATAAGGCTTCCTAAAAGAAAGCTATACAAATTCTGCCACTCTTAGCTCTATGACCTTGAAAACTTCGTTTTAAATGAAATAGCTCAAGGATAGAGAAAATTCTCTAGAATGAACTAATAAGCGCCCATGTGCTTGTCATTCCAGCTTTGTCATGTTATTCCTCATAGTTATTTTCTCATAGTTATTTCAGATTTTTCACAAGGAATGAAAGGTTAAAGATAAAGTTGAAGCTCATTATGTACTACCTTTCAAACCAATTCTCTTCCTCTTTCTCTTTTTGTCTCTCTCTTTCTCTCTCTCTCCAAGAGTAAACACATTTTCAATTTGACGCTTATCTTCCCATGATGTTTCTGTATTTACACTCCATAGACATCTACAAATAATACTGAGTATTGCTTTGTGTCCCTAGATGTTATATGGTAACATGCTTTGCATATCTTTTCATATCTTGCTTTGGTAATTCACCATTACATTTTTGAGATTTGTCCATGTTGATACACATAACTTTATTTTCACTGCTACATAGTATTCCACTGAATCATTATTCCAAAATGTATCTATCTGTTTTCTTGTTAGTAGAATCTTGGCTTGTTTAAAAGATCTATCTTGAACAATGCTGCAACATTGCCCTTGCACGTGTTTCCTGTACAATCAGGTCAAAGCTTCCCTAGAAGCCATTGGAGGACACACAGACTGTTAGTTTTAGAAGATATTACATAACTGCTCTGTGCTTTCCTAACACTGAGAGCATCCAATTCTCTACATCCTTGCCCACGTGCAATATTTTAATCCTTTCAATTTGATAGGTGTACTATTTTAATGTACATTTGCATGCTATAAAAGCCTTTTATGCTCCATTGTACAGAATACTAAAGTGAAATCTTTATTTCTCTTGCTGCATACCCCAGTCTAGTTTCTTTTAGGACTAATCGAATTCCTTTCAATTTATGGTATTTTGGCCACCAAATTAGTCACTGTTTTTCTTTGAGTAACTATATCTCAAAGCAGGTGTTGACTTTGCACAGTAACAAAGAAAGGTAAATTATTTGCAAAAGTAGAGATAATATCACTGTGTCAATTTTAAGGCTCAGAAAACATCCCTTGATTTCTTATCCAATTTTCTTTCCCTTTAGTCCTCCCACCAGTTGCTAATCACCATGAACAGCCAAAATACTGCATGCAAAATTATATTTGTGATGTTTGCAGCTTGACTTAAGACAATGAAGTAGCCAAAAATCTGACAAATGTGTTCTTTTGTCACTGTCCTGTCCTTGTGCAGTGGAGGGGGATTTCAGACACAAACTGGTCCCCATTAGGCTTGAATCGCTTTGATAAGCTCTGCTAAGCATCAAGGTTCTAGAGCTTTTTACAGAAAAGAATTTGTTTTTCTTTATTTTTTAATTTCTGAATTTCATTGGACAGAGGAAAGTTCCTCCCTTTCTTTAGAAAATCACCCTCTGTTTTTTAATGCAGTTTATGATGTACTCTTCTCTCTCACTCAGAAAGGATTTAGAAGACTAATCTAGCATTCATCTCAGTGAAAGCACTGAAATATCTAACACTGTCAGATCATTAAATAGAACCCTATATAGTTATAAAGTAAACATCCTAAACCATTTCTAAAAGGTCATTGAGGAATCTTAAGTGATCTGAAAAATGTTTATGAGATAAGGCTCAGTCAGTGGAAATAAACTGTATGTATATGTGCATATCAATAACTGTTCCATTTCTATATTTCAATCTATTTATCATCAATCTATTTAGATAAAGGAAATACACCAAAATATTAACAGTGAGAACTTTCCAATGAAGAGACTATGAATTATTAAACAATTAAAAATACATTTCTGATTCTCCAATAACTCTACCATGAACATATATTATTTTTATAACCCAAAATGATTAGCACAAAAGGCATTTATTAATAAAAGAAGATAATGTGACAAAACGTCTAAGAAGACATAGTCTTATAGTATGGAGACTTGATAAAGAAATTTAATATACTCAATTATTTTTCTTTAGACTTTCCTTTTATTTTTCTTTTTGCAAACTATTCCTGAGTTTGACATAGGTTTGGGAAAATAATAGAACTGTAACTTTCAACATATATTTAGAAACACACATTCAGTAAATTTAGACATGTACAAGCATGTCTAAATGGTAGCCTGCTGGGGTTTATTTGCATAAAAGGCAGAGGGTCTCAGTAATAACAAGTTGCTATTTTCTCAAGGTTGATGATTAGTACCACCATGTCCCCCCAAAAACCCCACTCATTGTGGCATGAGGGAATACATTAACCTTCCAACCATTGGGAGTCATTTCAGTAGGGGAAGGCATTCATCATCCCAGGTGAGTTGTTGTACACAAGCTGAATTGGGGTTGTCCTAGGGCTAAAGAAGAACTCAGTTCCACCTTCATATAGTGACAACAAGCTTCCTACCCCTCCTTCAGAGAAGAGCCATGGCCCTCAGCAGAGGAAGCTATAACAGAGAATGAGTTAAGTGAATGCTTTATTAACCAGTGTTGGTGTAAATCAATCAAGTCACAGGGCACCCCGTTTCATTTGTATCCATCAATGCATTGTTATATCCACCTGGAAACACAGCGAGGAAGGACAGGAGGTGGATGATGTTGTGGGGATCTTCTACCCCACTGAGTTCCTATTACATCTATTATAATCACGATCATACATTTATTTCTTGAGTAAACAAATTTGGAGATTTTTAAAATATGCTGCTCTATCTTAACTTGTTAAAACGCCTATATACAATTACCTAAAACAAGGAGGAGAATTTAAACACAGTTTCCTTTTTGTCTTTTTTTTTTTTAGATAGAGTCTCATACTGTTGCCCGGGCTGGAGTGCAATGGCACGATCTCGGCTCACTGCAATTTCTGCCTTCCAGGCTCATACGATTTTCCTGCCTTAGACTCTCGAGTAGCTGGGATTACAGGTGCACACCACCACACACAACTAATTTTTCTGTATTTTTAGTAGAGACAGGTTTTTACTATATTGGCCAGACTGGTCTCGAACTTCTGACCTCGTGATCCACCCACCTCGGCCTCCCAAAGTGCTGGAATTACAGGTGTTAGCTACCATGACCAGCCTAAACACAGTTTTCAAAACAATTAAGCAAGTATATATGAAATGGCCACACAATATGTCTGGCACTATTTTAAACATTGTAAGGCTGAAGAAATAAGACACTCCTCCAAAAGAAGCTCTTAGGGTCTTATCTGGAAGAGGAAATAGGTGTACATGAAGCACACAAACAACATTACATGTTCTAGGAGGTAAATTAAGATAAAGCATCATGAGTGATGAAAGTGATCTACTGCAGTTTTAAAGCATGGACTCTTGAATTGGTTCCCCTGAATTCTAATCTCAGTTCATTTTATTATTGACTGTGTTTAAGGAAACTTGGGCATTACCTAACCTCTTCATGCTTCAGTTTTGCCATCCATAGAGTGGTGAAACTAATATCTGTTAAATAAAGTAAATTATATATTATATGCTTACAAGAGTGTCTAATGCACAGATGAGGCTCAAGAAACAATTACTTTTATTACTGTCAAATGTCAAGAAAACTAGTTTAGAGACTACATGTGATACTTATAAAATATTTATTGCCAGGGTTGGCCCAGACTTTTGAGAGAAAGTGCCTTTTAGAAATGGCAGGGTGAGATATTGAAATAAAACTTTTAAGGTTGCATTTTATAAAAGACTGAGGATTATTTATCCCAACAACTGCAAAATCATTCCCATAAAGAGTACAAAATGTAAGTGGTAGGAAAAAATATATCAGTTGATTATTTTCTTTGAAACAAGAATCTCAGATCACTCATTTGATGTTTCTCTTCAAAGTTTGAAAGGTTCGTGACAGCTCACAGCTCATGATGGTGCCAATCTTGAGGATAGAGAAAACTCATTCCTCATGCAGGGAAGAAGAAAATATTCTAAAAAAGTGATAAGCATATTCCATGAAATCAAGAAAGGTAGGAAACCAATATTTATTTCTTCATTCTTTCGCTTACTCAACAAACATATATTAGTGCCTACTATGTGTTAGGCAAGGCACCAGAATCTGGAATCCAAAATTAAATGAGTCCCTCTGTCCTCAAGAGTTTACAAGACAGGGAAGTAAATAAGTGATCAAAATACTACATGATAACAATCAGTACAAGGCATGGAACTGAGCCTGGATAGTAAAGCAGAGGTCATGTAAATGAGTTTTGTCTTTATTCACAAACATGAATCTATTGAAAGATTTAAACAAGGAGAATGACATCATTTTCATTCTTATAAGATCATACTTGTTGCATAGTGGGAACAAATTGAATGTTTGGTGCTGAGATTTTGTTATTTTTATAACTACATCTTGTATAGTTTTCTATGTCTATAAAATACAACGAAGATCATACACTCTTAACTTTATGTAGCTATGGGTCCACTTCAATGCTATTATTCATCCAGCAGTCTCCCTTCTGCTCCCTTCTCCTAAAAAAAAACTAGAAGAACTAGCCCTATCATACATCTCCCTACAATGAATAACAGAACTGCAAGTAGACAAAGACAGATGGAGAATGAACTTAGTTTCTCTTTCAAATGGAAGCTAGCAGAAAAGCTCAGGAACTCACACTTTGAGGAGAGAGTAATATGCAGTTGTTAATAACATAGGATATTGATTTAAAAACCAGTGTTGTCCATTGCTTATTCTGTGACCTTGGGAAAACTTGTCAATATTTCTGGTCTTGCCTGGGCATGGTGGCTCACGCCTATAATCCCAGCACTTTGGGAGGCTGAGGCAGGTGGATCACAAGGTTAAGAGATCAAGACCATCCCACCCAACATGGTGAAACCCTGTCTCTACTAAAAATACAAAAATTAGCTGGGCGTAGTGGTGCACACCTGCAGTCCCAGCTACTCGGGAGGCTGAGGAAGAAGAATTGCTTGAACCCAGGAGGAGGAGGTAGCAGTGAGCCAAGATTGTACCACTGAACTCCAGCCTGGCAACAGAGCGAGACTCCATCTCAAAAGAAAAAAAAATTCTGGTCTTAGGTGTTAATATCTTTACTCTAAGATGGTAATAAAATTATGCATATCTTTTATTTGTCAGATTCAGCTAACTACTATAACAAATAAATCAAATCTCAAAGGCTTAACACTATACAAATGTTTTTCTGGTTAAAGTTAAGAAAGGGCATTAACTAAAACAATAAGTTATTACAATATAAAATCGCAGGATAAAAACATTACATAGAGAACTTATTTTATATATATAAAAAATGATTATTTAGGAAATGTAATAACAGAAAAACTCTCATTTATAGTAACAACAAAGAACATAAAACACTTGTGAATAAACTTAAAAGGAAATGTGCAAAACCTGTATGAGGAAAGCATTTATGAAGGATATAAAAACACTGCAGAAGAGCCAAGAAAACACTTAAAAAGAAAAACTAGGAGAAGAACTAGCCATATCACACATTAAAACATACTATAAAGTCTTTATAATTAAAAGAGTGTGGTATGTAGGTGCATGAATAGGCAAATGGACTGATAGAGTAAATTAGAAAGCCCAGAAATCAACCCAGGTACGTATGGAAATTTAGTATATGATAAGTGACATCACAAAATTATTAGAGCAAGCAAATTTTAATAATTGGTTCTGGGGCAATTGGACAGCTATTTGGAAAGAAATAATTTTAGATTCATATTTCACACCATACATTTATAACTAGTGAAATGCAAATTAAAACTTTATAGGGATATGATTTTTCACCTATCAGATTGGCAAAACATTTAAAATACAGCAATCAGATAGAGATACCCTCACACATTGCTGGTGAGAATGTCAACTGGTACAAGCTTTTTAGAGAGAAATTTGGCAATGCTTAAGAAACTACATATACACTTAATTTTAATTCAGCAATTCCACTTCTAGGAATTTACCCAGAAGATACATCTCCAATAAGGCAAAAATACATTTGCACAGGGTTATTAATTGTGGCAGGGTTTGTTTTTGCAAAATATTGGAAACAATGTGAATATCCAAACATAAGAGAAGAGTTAAACAAATTTTGTACCTCTACAGACTCTAAGAGAAAATGAAATAGAGGATTTCTGTGAACCAATTTGGATTGTTTTTCAGAACACATTAAGTAAAAAAGAAAAAAAATGCAAAAGAGTATCGATTGTGTGTCAACTTTTATGAAAGAGAAACTGAAAACACACATACACAAACGTTACCCCAGAAACTAAGATTGCTTATATATAGGGATAAGATGAAGGAGCAGGGGTGCAGGGGATGATGGGGGTGGGAGAGAAACACTTCTCTGAGTGTAACTCTTTGTACAGTTCTGACTTTAAGAAACCATGATAATGTTTCATATACTGAAAATATAAAGAAAGGACTAAAATTAAGCAGGATGAAGGGAGAACCTAAAATTCAAAACAAACAATAACAAATGAGCCTAACTAAATTACAAACCACACTGAAGGGGATAAGGAAGAAAAGAATGAACTGAAGGTAACTTTGAAACCCAATGTATTATCAATACAATGTATGTATTCTATAAGACCCAAGACAAACAGGAACGTACACAAACATTGTACGCTAGTTTGCAAGTTCCCTAGCCCCAAAGAGGCATGGGTTAGTTCACGTGTATTTTAGGATTGTTCAATAAGTAAATAATCTTTGGATAACAAGAGGGAGATTTCTTACTTTTAGAGAAATGAGTTACTAGTAAGGAAAGGAGGAAGGCTAGAATTAACCCTGTAGTATTGAACTGAAATCAAATGTATTGGTATGAGCTGTTGGTGATAGATAGAAGATTATATATATATACATATATATATATACACACATATATATATATATGAGAGAGAGAGAGAGAGAGAGAGAGAGATGGGGATAAACAGGAATCAAATGTATGAACTCATGTTAACAGATAAATGATAGATAGATGGATAGATGATACAGAGATAGAGACTTAGATCATGTGTATGTATGTGTGTTTATTACAAACACAGGTTTTCATCTACCTTTGTCTGATGAGAGGGCCTGAAAGTAATGACACCAGTAGCAATGAATGCAGGATCTTGGTTTCTCAATGACATTATTTAATAAAAGAATCCAAGGATCCTTGAGAAATGACTGATCTCATGGCTGGGGCAGGGAAAGTACTGTGTAAGATTATCCTGGAACATCTTGTGCCAGAAAGAAAAGAAGTAATAAGAACAAAATGGTGGACACATGTTGAAAGGACACAGAAGCCAATTGAAGGGCCCCCCAATGGTCAATTCTGAGACAACTTGAAGAACTAAGTAAATTATGGTAATAATGGATTATAGCCTATAGAATAAAATATGTATTCATGACTGCATACTGATATACATCAGTAATGGCATAACTAGCAAATGGGAGAGAAGGGAAACCTCTTCTTTACAGTAGAATTACAATTAATAAATGTCAAATAAATTATTAAAGTAAAAAAAATCACGAGTTGAAGATGAGTGGGGCAATATATAAGAACCAGGATATTTACCTAGTCCTGATGTCACTCTCTACAAAGTACGTATTAAATACAAAGATAAAGACAGTTCCTTTACAGTGGGACAGTCTGGCAGACACCACCTTAACCAAGTATTCAAGGCTAACATCACCAATAATAAGAAATATTCAACAAAATGGACCCTGATATATGTACTGAGAAGCCCACAATACCACTTCTGTGATAGTCTTACCAAATATGTATAAGCTGAATTTAATCATTATTAACTTAATCATAACCTGGATCCTTGCTATAAAATAGATATTAACATGATAATTGGCAAATGTTAAATAACGTCTGGGGTTAATGGGACATTAATATTATAAATATTAATATTAATCTCAATATTCATTTCTTGATTTTGAAAATTATACTGTGGTTAAGTAAAATATTAACACTTGGAGTAGTTCAGTAAAAGGTATATGGGAATTCTGCGTACTACTGGCAATTTTTTTTAGTCTGACATTATTTCAAAATAAAAAGGTAATAAAAATATTAAAAAGAAAGAAAAGGTATTTAAAAACCTTTCTACCTATGATTACAAAACTTCATTTTAGAAGAGATGACTTAAAACCCTCTCAAAATATATTTTCTTCTCAAAATAAAAATGTTGGCTGTGTGCAGTGGCTCATGCCTGTAATCTCAGCATTTTGGGAGGCTAAGGTCAGAGGATGGAGAATGGCTTGAGGTCAGGAGAATCTAGACCAGCCCGAACAACATAGTGAGACCCTATCTCTACAGAAATAAAAATGTAAAACTAACCAGGCATAGTGGTGCATACCTGTACGTCCCAGCTATTCAGAAGGCTGAGATGGGAGGATCACTTGAGCCCAGGAGTTTCAGATTGCAGTGAGCTATGATTGCACTACTGCCCTCCAGACTAGGCCACAAAAGTAAACTTTGTCTCTTAAAATAAAAAGTTAAATACATTCTTAAAATGTACATATGGAAAAACACATTTATTCCATAAATTGTCCCCCAGATCAATATGTTCCTTCGCTCTGACTCACTGTTTTAACTTGTCTGCTATTGTTCCTATTTTGAGAGGATATGACCTGGGTAATTAAGTAATTTTTTTGTAAATTAATCCTAGTTATAATTTTACTTCAGAGAATTCAAGCATCTTATTCTCTAATTTTATGTACAGATATACGATTTTCTAGGCAACAGATTTAGGGAGCTTCATTTCTATTCCAAAAGCCTGGGTATAAAGGCCTGGCATCCTTACTCTACAAAGGATAGGCCCATTTTATAGATCACAAGACTCATCACTACTCAATAGTTACCTCATATTCCTAGAGTTAAATAAACCAGAGCACCTGCACACTTACATACATACATATATACTCACACATAGGTATACACACACACATATAATGTGTATATATGTGTTTATACATATATATGTATATACACATTTTCAATAACTTGCTAATCAGGAT